GGGATCTCAAGCACAGCGGAAAATAAAATCGTAACCCTCTAAGGACCCATACAAACCGAAATAAATCGGGTGTTTCAATATTATACCTCACAGTTAGCGAGACTTTGAATCACAACAACAAACAAAGCTTGATGCCTCCACGATATCCACGCGAACAATCTGAATCCTTTGCCTTCTCGTGATGCTAGTCACGGTTTCAAAACTTAGAAAGAAAAGAGAGAATATTGTTGTAGATGATTTTAAGAGAGAATTGCAAGACTTAAAAACACTAGCATAAAAATGTCATACATTTTATATGGACATGGGATGTATGGCCTAACCATCACCATACCTCCACCATGCCTCCACCATGCTTGAGTGTAAGACCTTCATACACCATCACTCTCTTACAAAGCCATCCCTAGTCATCTTTATTTATGTCCAACATAAATAATATATGATTTTATTTAATCAGATTAAATCGGTACAAATCAGATATGATAATTAAACATTTTAATTATTGAAACTCCTTATTCGAATATGTTCAAAGCGTGTGACCCAATGGGTTCTCGACATGTTGGTAATAAATATAAATCTCATATTTATAGTCATAAACGATGAGCGGTATCTAGCAAGACATCACCGTTACCCAAATGACGAGAATTAGTGTTACAACAAATTATCGGTTTGAAGTCAATTTTAGTTTTACATATTTAATTCTTTCGACCTTGATGTCCAGATTGAACACGAGACATTGACTGTGTCATTCTCGTTATTTCCAATCTCTAGTTTCTTGATTCTCTAACATACTAACAAAAAATAGATAATGATATCTCATATCAATTATCTAAGCATGCATGCATTTCTTTAGTATATATATTTATCAAGGGGCCCAGAGACATCACTCCCGTCATAAAGGAGGGACAAATCCTATCTCGATACATGCTAATTCTATCATGTGATATGCAACATACCCAACTATCATTCTGTCACCCAGTTACGAAATGATTAGAATAAATGTCAAAATACATTACTCACACATAACAAACTCTATGTTCTCAAGTCAAAGAAGTACATGTACATTGACCATATGAGAAACACTTATGCTAGTTATTATCATATTACTTCAACCTTAAACCCGAAATAATATTTAACTAGGGACATTTACAATACATTATTCTAAGGTTATTTATTATGAATAATTAAAACACAAAATATAATATAGACATAATAAAATGGGCAATGCCTTTATATTTATTAATTTCATGAAACAAAACTCAAAGTCACAATCATCATATGATTGGTTTTTGTGCATTCACTAACAATCTCCCACTTGCACTAAAGCCAATCATCCATGCATCGTATACCAATGGATCTACAATGGCCTTCATGCTTCTGCTGTGTTAACGGTTTGGTTAGTGGATCAGCAACATTGCTTTGGGTTGACACTCTACTTATACTAACATTGCCTCTTTTAATAATATCTCTAATGAGATGATATCTTCAAAGAATATGTTTGGATCTTTGGTGAGATCTAGGTTCCTTGGCTTGAGCTATAGCTCCATTGTTGTCACTATAACACCCGATTTCTTTCTCCCTTTTTGTAAGTTTAATTGTGTGTATATTTATATATTAATGTATATATATTTATATTTATATTCTATGGCTTAAACAACCTTCTTTTGGAGAAAAGGGGTTGGGTAATGTAATCCGTAGTGTTTTAGGTAAGGGGGGGGGGGTTTGGCAGCAACTTTCTGACCACCCTTTCAATCACAACCCTTACCTAGTGAGTTTCCTTCTTCCATTTAGGTCCTTAACCACCATGTAGAAGATAAAAATCTTGGGGAAGGGTGTTAAGAGGGGAGGCAACCTTAGAGAAAAAAAAAAGAAAAAAAAGAAGAAAGGAAGAGGAGAGTTTGAACTCTTTCTGGTTCACGAAGAGGCAGCAAGCAACAAACCTACTGTGGCCTTCCTCGTCTAACAGCAGCAGCAAGCAGCGAGCTGCTGCGTTGTCTTCGCCAAGCATCGACAGCAACAAGCAGCAAGTTGTTGTGTGTCCTCGTCCTGCAATAGTGGCACCAAACAGCAGCCTTGCTGCGTTTTTTGTATTTTCCCGTCCAAGATCAGCAGCCCTGTGCAGTCGTCTGTGGAAGAAACACCAAACAGCAGCGCCTGCAGCCTTGTTCTTCGTCTCGACAGCATCAAGCACCAAACAGCAGCCTTGCTGCGTTCTCTGTATTTTCCCGTCCAAACAGCAGCCTTGCTGTGTTTTCTATATTTTCCCGTCAAAGACAGCAGCTTAACAGTAGCTTAACAGCAGCCTTGCTGCGTTGTTTTCTGCTGTGTCCCCTGTCACTTCAGTCGCCGAGCAGCAGCACCGAAAACAGCCACGAACAGCAGCACCAGAGACGGCAGGAAGACAGCAGCTTTGCTGCGCGCTGTTTACGCCCCTTCGTCAAGCAGCAACAACAGGAAGGCAGCAGCTTTGCTGCGCGTTGCTATCGTTCCTTCGCCTTGCAGCAACAGCGGACCGGAAGGGCGCTGTTTCTCTGTCTTTTCGCGGTACACGGCAACAGCAAACAGCAGCTGCTTCAGGCACTGTCTGCCCGTTCTCGGGCTACAAGCAGTCGCATCGGGCGCTGCCTTTTAGTTCAAAAAAAAAGTCTGGGGTTTCTCCTAAATCCTGCTAAGTGAGTTCATCTAATTCATTTTATGAAATTTACACTATTGGYGAGAAAGCTTTTACTCATCACATTGCTTTAACTTCATGTAACTACGTATACATATTAAATGGATCTATTTTTGGGTAAAAGGAGCAACTTGGGAAATCTAGTTATACTACTAAGTTGAGTTTAGATGAAATKATCAAATCACTTGATAGAATACTCCTTTCAATGTGTTGTTGACCACTAAACTCTAAAATCCTCATGCCCCTAATTTAGGGTTCTTGATTAGCAAAGTGGGGTTATTTTGCTTGTGTTCAGTCGCGCGTATGATCCTTTTGATAAGTAGGTACTATTATGCATATGTTACCGGATTCAAMTTTTCACTAGAATATAGTGGGTTTTGAAARCATGAAGTTTGTTTCATTCTGTTGGGGTGAAGGGTGGTGTGGGTTGGAATTAGGCATTGTGATCATTATGTAAATTCCAAACCCCCTTTGCACTTCCACTCGGAAATAGGCATTGTGATTATTATGTAATTTCCGAGATACAGAGCTTATGATCACGATCGACTACATGACTGGTTAGGTTGATGTCGATGGTATTAAACCAGTTAGTGATGCTCTATAACGTTGGACTATGACTTACTTTGTGTTCGTCATAACCAACGGTAAATCGGGTCTCCCCCCTTATCCTCGGATGTTTTGGCTCCTCAGCATGATATTTTGGGATTAACTGCTTCCTTGCATCTATTGAATTTACGTCGATCCGTATATATATATATATATATATATATATACAAATTTAAAAGGTTTTACATTATCTTTTTCTCATCGATTGAACTCACTAGGCGTAAGCCTAACATTTCTTCTTTATATGTCTTGTAAATCAGGTTCCTTTAGCGACGGGACTCATAAGGGTTGAGAGAAACGTTGGTTCGTGAAAGACACTTTTGGTAGTTATAAGCCTTTGGGATTTTGAGCGTTACGTTTTGATGATGCGATATTTTTGGAGATAGATAGAAACACCAGTCTTTAATCTAGATGTGTACTAATCTAGATTAGTAGGTTGTTAATTATCTTCTTAGTAGTTGGTTTGTAAAAGCTTTATTACTACCTTTTGTTGGATAAAATTTTAATTCTAGATTCTGTTTCTCGTTAATTATTTTCGGTTTAAGCTATCCTTACATTCTGTTGGGGTGTTTCAAGTTGGTATCAGAGCTTTAGTTTAAGTGAACTAGATGAGGAACTAAGACGCCTAGGCTTAAGCTGAGATTGTAAGCATTAATTCATGAGGTATGGGTAAAGACGGTTAAGATGGGAGAGCTTTAGAGTCAACAGAGTTGCATAATTCATGAGATTGTTGTGATAAGTGTTGAGGATCCTTATGTATAACCTATTCAAAATTTCACTTAGCTAATGCTATTTTGAGTAAGTCATTGCATGAGCATACTTGGACTCAGTGTTACTACAAAATTATGATTGTGTCGGTGCCGTATTATGTTAGTTATGTATATATATATATATATATATATTTTCCTCCTAACCTAACTCTCTATCACTCTCTTGTACAAGCAGACTTTATGGTGAACACTCGGAGTAGACGAGATACCTCACCAGAAGGTCAAGCGGTGACTGAATCTACCGCGGATCAACCACCACAGACCACCACCGCAAGGGTTCATCTGAGGCAAAACATTTTGGGCGATAGAGTTGATCGTGTTCCCCAAGTTGACCTTGCCACCTCTAACCCCCTGATGGAAGAAGAGACCCCAGAGTCAAGGATATTGGGTACAATGATGAACGCTATGAACAGGGCCATGGCTCAACAACAAGAGTTCTTTATGAAGTTGTTGGAAGATAGAGATGTTAACCACCGTAAGCACGAAGCGGTTGCCGAAAACGTAACTAATGTGGGATCCGGGGGCACTGGAAATGGAATCCCAACTCAGGAAATGGCAAYGATTGAGGCAAGACAGATGGATAGAGTTTGCTCCTACAAGGCCTTTCTATGTTGCAAACCACCGGAATTTGTGGGGTCGGATGACCCCGTGACTTGCATGAATTGGCTTCGAGAGATCGAGCAAGCCTTYCGGGCTTGTGACTGTGAAGAWRGACAAAAWGTGAAGTTTGGCTCTCAGATGCTWAGGGGTGCAGCCCTTACCTGGTGGAATATTGTAATCTCAACCATCGAGGCCACCGAATTGACCAAGATGAGTTGGACCACCTTCAAGGAAAAAGTAATGGAAGAGTATTGCAACGAGCAAGAGATGGACCGCATTAAGGAAGAGACTACACTCGACTCTTTATAGAAAAGCTAAACTTGGTGGGACACGTGGCCCCAACAGAGGAAGAATAGATGAAAGCCTACCTCAAAGGATTACCTGCTGACATGATGGTGATGGTTAATTCAAGAGCATTTACCCTCGTAGAGACAATAGAAGAAGCCAAGGTCCTGGAATCAGTTTATGCTAAGAGAAGGGAAGAAAGAATGTCGAGTGGGGAGAAGAGGAAGTGCGAAGGGCCCTACCAAAAAGCCAAACCACTTTGGAAACAGCAATCGCGGAACCCACCGCAATCAAGAGACAAGATGGTATCCCAAGTGTCGAAGCAAACATCACGGCCCGTGTAGCACCAATCCTACCCTCACCAAATGCTTTAAGTGTGGGAAGCCAGGCCACACACGAAATGAGTGTCCAATCAAGGGACCCACATGTTTTGAATGCGGAGAGCCAGGTCACTTTAAGAATGACTGCCCGAAGAGGAAGGCGGGAGGGAGTCAGACAAGAAAAGAAAATACTCCGAGGGCAGCCGGCCGAGCCTTTCAGATGACAGCGAAAGAAGCTATAGCATCGACGGATGTGGTGTCGGGTACGTTCCTTGTTAACTCCGTACCTGCACATGTGCTTTTCGATTCGGGTGCTTCATGTTCTTTTGTGTCCAATGCATTTTATCAACATTTGTGCATGCCCCCTAGTGCACTAGAAGATGCCCTGATCGTAGAGATAGCGAATGATAGTAGAGTCCTAGTGCGTAAGATCGTTAGGGGTTATGTTTTGGAAATCGAGGGAAAGGAAATTCCGGTAAATCTGATACCTATGGCCATCGGCGGCTTTGACATCATAATTGGGATGAACTGGTTAGCGAAGAACCAAGCAGATATTGTATGTTCATAGAAATTGATTCGAATCGCTTTACCTGATGGGAACGCAGTGCTAATTCACGGAGAAAGAAAGCAGGAAAATGTAATGGTCCTATCGGTTGCAAAGGCGCGCAAATGCTTAGCTAAAGGGTGTCCCTCGTTCATTGCATACGTGTTGGATACCAAACTAGAGAAAGGAAGAATTAGAGATGTGAAAGTAGTTAATGAATTTCTCGATGTATTCCCTGAGGACTTACCCGGTCTACCCCTCGATAGGCAAGTGGAATTCCAAATCGACCTTGTTCCGGGAACCGCTCCAATTGCCAGAGCCCCTTACCGTTTGGCACCATTCGAGATGCAAGAGTTGATGTCTCAGTTGCAAGACCTCATTGAGAATGTGCATAGACTACAGGGAGCTCAATAAGGCAACCGTGAAGAACAAATAGCCTCTTCCTAGGATAGACGACCACTTTGACCAACTTCAAGGGGCAAGCTACTTCTCTAAGATCGACCTTCGCTTGGGGTATCACCAAGTGCGTGTAAGAGGAGAAGATGTGTCGAAAACAGCTTTTAGAACATGTTATGGACACTATGAGTTCATGGTCATGCCTTTCGGTCTGACGAATGCACCAGCGATATTTATGGACTTAATGAATCGGGTGTGCCGACCGTTCCTTGATAAGTCAGTGATAGTGTTCATCGATGACATACTCGTTTATTCCAAGGATGAGACAAACCCTGAGCAGCACCTTCGGGAAGTTCTCGAAGTGTTAAGAAAAGAGAAGCTGTATGCAAAATACTCCAAGTGCGACTTCTGGCTGAACGAGGTCCAATTCTTGGGTCATATTGTCACTCGGGACGGGGTGAAGGTGGACCCAACCAAGATTGAGGCGATGATGAACTGGGAGCCACCAAAGAGTCCAACAGAGATTCAAAGTTTCTTGGGTCTAGCAGGTTATTACAGAAGATTTATCCAAGATTTCTCAAAGATCGCTGCTTCCTTGACTACTTTGACTAGGAAGAATGTGAAGTTCATCTGGACAGAGAGGCAAGAGTATGCTTTTAGAACTCTCCAAAAGAGATTGTGTGAAGCCCCGATTCTCTCCTTGCCAGAAGGATCCGAAGACTTCGTAGTTTTTAGCGACGCTTATAAAATGGGATTGGGTTGTGTCTTGATGGAAAGGGGAAAAGTAATAGCTTACGCATCCAGACAACTTAAAGATCATGAGAAGAATTATCCCACCCACGACTTGGAACTAGCAGCGGTGGTATTCGCCTTAAAACTTTGGCGACATTACCTCTATGGAACCAAGTGCACTCTTTACACTGATCATAAGAGTCTGAAGTATATTTTCGATCAAAAAGATTTAAACATGAGACAATGTCGTTGGCTCGAGCTGCTCAAAGACTACGATGGTGAATTGCTATACCATTCGGGTAAGGCGAATGTAGAGGCGGATGCTTTGAGCCAGAAGGAGTATGGTAGTGGGACGAAAGTTGTGCTTACCAGGATCGATATAGTGTCCAGTTTGATTGATCAAATCAAGGTGGCGCAATCAGAGGCACTCGTAGAAGAGAACCTTAAGAGTGAGGTAATGATGAAACAACGATTACTGCTGTCAGAGGATGGCCGTGGATTGAAGTTATTTCAAGGGCGTATTTGGGTACCCAAGGTCGGAGGCAATCGCGAGTTGTTACTAGAAGACGCGCACAAGTCCAAATACTCCATTCATCCCGGTAGCACCAAGATGTATCGAGACTTGAAGTTGACGTATTGGTGGCCTGTAATGAAATTGTATGTGGCTCGTTATGTGGAGAGAAGCGTGACTTGCTTGCAAGTAAAGGCGGAGCACCAACGACCTTATGGTAGTCTTCAGTCCTTGGAGATCCCCGAGTGGAAGTGGGAACATATCACGATGGATTTCGTGACCAAACTGCCGAAGACCTTAAGCGGCCATGATACAATTTGGGTAGTGGTCGATCGATTGACCAAGAGTGCTCATTTCTTAGCAATGCGTGAAACATTGCCCATGGAGAAGTTTGCTAAGTTATACATCGATGAAGTTGTCTCAAGACATGGTATACCTTTGTCCATAGTGTCAGATCGAGATAGCCGATTCACCTCCCATTTCTGGGGTGGCTTGTAGAAATAGTTGGGCACGAGGGTGAAGCTGAGTACGACTTACCACCCTCAAACTGATGGCCAGAGTGAGCGAACCATTCAGACACTCGAAGATATGCTCAGATCGTGTGTTATCGACTTTGGCAGGAATTGGGATTCTCACCTACCCCTGGTGGAGTTTGCCTACAACAATAGTTATCATTCCAGCATCGGAATGGCACCTTTTGAGGCCTTATATGGTCGAAAATGTAGGACTCCTGTTTGTTGGCTTGAAGCAGGTGAGAAACAATTCGCCTGCCCCGAAATCATAGAAGAAACGACCAATAAGGTGAATGGTATTCAGGAGCGTTTAAAGGCGGCACAAGATCGTCAAAAGATCTACTCGGACAAGAAGAGCCGACCAATAGAATTTCAAGTGGGCGACCGTGTAATGTTAAAGGTGTCTCCATGGAAGGGCATTATACGTTTTGAAAAGCGTGGGAAGCTAAGCCCTCGTTTCCTTAGACCATTTAAAGTCTTGGCTTGGCTGGGACTCCAGGCCTACAAATTAGAACTACCACCAGAGATGGCCGGAATTCATAACACATTCCACGTATGCTACCTTCGTAAGTGCTTGGTGGAAGAAGAATGCGTAATACCACTTTCGGAGATTCGTGTTGATGAGAATAACCGATGCGTGGAAGAACCGGAAGCGATCTTGGAAAGCAAGATCAAGGTGTTGAGGCACAAAAAGGTTGTCATGGTCAAAGTAAAATGGAAACATCATCGAGGATCAAACGTGACTTGGGAAGCGGAAGAGGACTTGAAGAGGCGTTACCCGCACTTATTCGCGTGAACTAAATTTCGAGGACGAAATTTAACCCAAGGTGGGGAGGATTGTAACACCCGGTTTCTTTCTCCCTTTTTGTAAGTTTAATTGTGTGTATATTTATATATTAATGTATATATATTTATATTTATATTCTATGGCTTAAACAACCTTCT